CCAGGAATTCCCCGGCCAGGCCACGAACGAATCTTTTTGTAGCTGAGGAGAAATGATAAAATATCCCCGGCCCGCGCCTTTCTTTCGAGTCGTGTGGAGATCAAACACCGTTGGCTAGTAGAGAGAGAGACTCCCACAGTCTAAATGGTGAGGCGAGTTGAAATATCGCGCTGGGCCTCCCTATATGTTAATCTCCGCATTAGCATAATACCGTGATTCTTCAAGGATCATTTGGAAATGCAAATAAATAATTTATAATAATAAGAGCAGACGGCCTGTTGTGGCAGCCACGCATTGCTAACGTCGGGCCCCGCGCGGGGACCACCGCACGCCCNGTAGTTGCGCCTGTAAATCTAATCGAGATATCTGCCGGCTCGTCGCTCCTTTTCTTGTCACGACAAAAACCGATGGTGTTCGGGGATTGGCCTATTTTCTGCCTCGCTACCGTTTCGTACCCGACGATTCCCTCCTCGCTCCCTCTCCCTCCGCGCCAAGATATTGTATATCTTCTTCTCGCGAATCGTCTCCGTTGAATTTTCCTCGATCGACGAAAATTCCTCCTACACCGTCTCGACAAACTTGAATTTTTCGATCGGACGAAACTTGTTCTACGATAAATATCGGGCAAAAAAATTGGAGGACGATTCGCGAAATAGGATGGAGAATGCCTCGTCTCTCTCTCTCTCTGTCTCGAGTGGTAACACCAAACACGAACTTTATGATTTTCTTGTGGCGAGCCGTATCGAGAGTATCCAGCTACTTTACGATCTCTAACCAGCCTCGAATTTACGCGGACGTTTATAACCGGGCCACGTGAATGAGACGCGCGTTTCGATTTCCATCGGGGCCCTCGTGTGTCGAAAACACAGCCTTTACAGGGCATAAATAAGGTATAAGCGTGTTGGTCGAGGGGATAGTCGAGGCGCAGGTGTACCCTCGTGTGACGTGTTTTTGATGTGTTACGTGTTAATATACCGGGATATGGCTCTCCACTATTCCACCCAGTGTCGCCCGTGTCCCAACCCCTTTAATGGGGGCCCCGGAATCCCTCGAAAACGCTCGTGAACGCTCTTCCAAGAAATCGTCACTTTTCTTTTTCTTTCTTTTCTTTCTTTTTTTATGAAGTCATTATTATCCTCGCGAACCTTTTGAAACGTTTCGCGTTTATATGCTCCTCTACGAATAAGATCGGCAAAAGGTATTAGGTATTGTTATTAATTGGTCGATATCGAGCGTGTTGGACACGCGATCCAAGTATGTCGATAAATGTCGCGACAATTTCGTTTTCTCTCTCTCCCTCTCTCTGTCTCTCTGAGACTTCGCTTCACCCTCGTCCACGAAATGCTAACGAGTGGAATTTCTTTTTTCCCCTTTGTTCGTTACAACCGCGCACACTGTGTCGGAGGAAAGAGGAGGAGGAGGAAGAAAATAGAAAAAGATCGTAACACGGGTACACAACCGAGCTAATCACAGAGAGATCGTTCCAACGGCTTGACAGATGCGCGTGTATTTTGCATAGAGTGGATTTATAAATCCCTTATCAGCTTATTATCTCGCAAGATTCCCCCGCGTGGATGTATATATATATATATTTATATTTATATATATATATACACGCTACGCGAGGCGAGGAGAAACGATACGAGAGAAACGTGGCAGCGGTGAAAAAAACGACCAACGACGAACGGAGAGCGAGAGAAAGGGAGAGAGAGAGAAGTGGGAGTATCATTCGTGTACGCGTACAAGTGGAAGGCAGAAAGAGGACTCGCGACTCGAACGCGAGGAGACAGAGAGAGAGAAGGAAGAAAAATAGTATATATATATATATATATGTATAGAAAGAGAGAGAGAGAGAGGCAGAAGGAGGAACGATGAAAAGTAGTGGGGAAGGGAGGAGGCTGAAAGAGGCGGAGGGAGAGATACAGTGACAAATGAGAGCGACTACAAATTGCACTTTCCGGCTCTCATTCTCATTCGACTCTCGTTTCTCTCTCCCTCTCCCTCCGTTCCTCCCATTCGTCGGATCAGAGCGGACGGGTAAATGTTGGTCTGGCCCACCTCTTTTATTCCTCTTCCACCACGGCCTACCTCCATTTATCCTCCTTCGTGATAATACTTCACGCTCGAATAACGAAAACTACTCACAGCGGGTCGGTGCAATTCCGGTTATTGGTAAGGACCATCTCGCCGATATTCGTTCCAACTTTCATTCTCGTTCCCCTCGTACCTCCCCTCCATCCTTCCACGCGCGAGATAAAACCTCGTCCCTGACTCTAATTCGAGTTCGACCGCGCGCAATTGCGCCCTCCCCTCTTCCAAGTAAAGTGAGAATATGGTGGATGGCATCTCAGTGAAGATCTCGTTGAATTTCAACGTGGTCGAGAAATCTAGAAACGATTCCAAGACGGAAACGTTTCGAGGATATATATATATATATATATATTCTCGGGTGGTCGTAAATTTCTCGTAAGTTTGCAGCATCGGTCGATCCGCGGGGCAGCTAGCCTAATTTCGACCGGAACTCGAGCATCCGCGAAGAAATACGCGAACGCGCCGCTCGGCCGACTCGTTATTTAGCCGGGGACCGGTGTCCGGTGGGGGCGAGGCGATGTTATATCGTGGCAGAGGCTAAAGAGTATAGGAGGGGTATTCTCGGGTATTCTCGGTGAGCACTCGCCTCGTCGTGGCTTGCTGCCGTTGTAATAACCCCCGTAGATCATACAGCCGCACGCACACCGCTCTCCGAGCCGAGGCCTCGTCGGGTACAACAACATTGTGCGGCACACGGCCTCGAACACCAGCAGGTATTATTCATTGAATGGACGGAGGAGCGGCCCGATCCGGCTTCGAAACGACACAGTTTCGCTTGGCACAGGGAGCAGCCCCTAACTCCTTAACACCGCTCGTTTCGATCGTCCCGGGATGCTTTATCGAGGGAACATTCGACATTGGTTGAGACGAGTAATCGATGCGC